GATTTGCGCATGCCCGTTCGCGCCGAAAAATTATAGCATGAGGCGAAATTATGCATTCAACCTATTTTAGGGCTATCCGTCTATTGGAAAACATGGTAAAATTTGGCGACCGCCTGCGTATTTGCGAATCGCACAGCGCCATCTTTTTTGTACGGCATACGGCGATATGCACATAATATATACGTATACCCACTCTTTCAGACGTCGCCTCTGCGACGGGCTAAGACTCTATCGAATTTTTTTTATCGCATGCACCTATAGTGCTGGCGACGTGCTCTCTAGGGGAATTGCAGAAATTCAGCGAAATACTGCTTCCGTCGGCAACTCTAGGGCATCCAGTAAACTCGATACGTGTGTGCGTTTTGGCTATATACACATTTCGAATAATTTCTCAGTTTCACAAAGGGAAATATCGGATTTGCGCATGCTCTATGCTATCGCATGAGAGGGCGGAAATATCATTCAACAGAGCTTCGAGTTTGAAGGGTTTGGTAATGGTTTAACGCAATTGGCATGTGTCTGACAACTATTCTAAAAACCATACACAAATACAATTGTAACAATTTACACACGCACATATGTACCCGTGTATATCTGCGGGTACTCTAACCCTCACAGTCGGTTAAGTTAGCTGTCCCGGGGATGGTATAGCGTTCTGGTTGGTTGGCTATAACACCCCCATTTAAACCAATTGGTAATCCGCTGAAAAAATGTGTTGGAGCTAGCTAGCTGCCAGCCATATAGAACAAATTAGGATAAAATTTCGTTCATAAATGTTGAATATATAACGTAATTATGAATTTATAATAACGTATTTATAAATTTCCGGTCGGCTGTGTGTTTCTGCCTTGGTAAAGATATTGTGGCGTGCTTCAATTGACTCTTCTTGCTCAACTCGTTTCAGGATGGCAGTCTTGCATCACAGCCTCGAGCTTACCGCAGATAGTTTGATCCGTTGCTATCACATTAACTGTACCACAATGTGTACAAAATAATATAACTAGCATTACTGCCTGGCTTCAGTAACCATGTTTTATCGGATTTCGATTTCCCCTATAAGCATCTCTCCGACGCATGGGCATGCTTTTCTTGCATATTATTATTTTTTTGTAATGCTTTATGGTCGCATTACATACTGTTCGTTTATGTCCGAGCACTATATGCATCACGTTCGCTGCTCCTTACTCAACAATTAAAACTTCCAAATTACTTTCAACTCTTTTGCAGTTGCTTCATCTCTTTCAGTATTGTTCCTACACGTTGAATATTTTATGGAGTATTCATAATCATCCGTATTTCGTTTAAGAATGATTGGATTGCAATAAATATATATAATATATATATATCTGAAGTAGATAATAGGGATTCTTATTATCTATAGCAGATTTGTAGCCATTGTATCAGCTACAAAGTATTTTGCTACTATATACCTTAGCAAACAGTGGCTACAAACATTTGCTCTCATAGTCATATATATATAACTTATAATATAAGAGCAGAAAATTGCTATATTAATTAGCCTGTGAATAAATACCCCCAGCAAAATAAATTGTGAAATTTAGCTTTATTATGGGGCAGATAAAATCATTAAATTGCATTGCATTGAATTGCACGTAATTATGGAGCCGGAGAGAGCAATTTTGTCAGGATCAGTGGAGAGCATCTCAGCGCCTCATACGATACTGAATACATCTGTCAGAGGAAAGGAAGGAGTAACGTAAAATAGTAATTGTATTCGTAACCAGGTTAGCGGACAGTGACACAGAGTGCGACGAAGTATGTTTTATAGAGCTGGCACAGTCACTCCATACAAGTGTTAAGTCTAAGCTACACACTGCAGTAGATGATATAATTACGCCGTTCGCCATGGAAAAACAAATTGAAGCGTTTAGCGAGTTGCCTAACCAGTGCTTGGCAACCTAGCATAAACAAACATACACAGTGCATATAGCATAGCTCCGTCCTGTGAGATCACAAACTCGTCAAACCGACACATCATTGAAGTAGTATTAACTTTCGCTTCTTACCTGTGGATTATGTTGTCGCTCCTTGCTATGCCATACTTTTCTGACAAAATTTCGTTAGTAACACTATGGTAACACCACAATCCCCAAGCGAGATGGAAAACACATATAACCACAATCAACTTTCATTACACTGGCGAATAATATTGCAGCCGACCAGATGGCAGCACTACATAAACTGCCTGGCGCATGTACTGGATAACGCTGCCCTACCACAACGGCGTGTGCATCCGCCAAATAGCTGCTGGCTTCAACCAAGGAGCTACATATAACATGTTATATGTAGCTCCTTGGCTTCAACCAAGGAGCTACATATTATACCAGCTCTGTATGGCATGTTTTTTATTTCATAATTCGATATCACATATTGAATTTAATTAATATCATTATATTGATAATTTTTATCACATATAACATTCGATTTATCACATATAACATTCGATCTTTATCACATATACATTCGATTTCTCCATTAGACAGTTTATTCGCATATAATATTTGATTATTTATATCATATGTTTATATGCAATAAATCGACACAATTTAATTCCCTGTTTTAAATGTTCACATTGATTATTTGATTTTATATTCAGAAAAGAGAATCGAAACCATCCGATCCTTGGAATCAAACGCATTCGTATTGAATCAAACATTCAATATTATGCGAACTAGAATCGCTTCGATTTTGGAATCGAATTTGTTCGATTTTGGTGTATAAATTTCAGGATCAAATGGTTCGATTCGCAGATCGGGAATGTCTCGATTCCAAAATCAAAAGATTCGATTCCAAATCAAACGATTCATATTCCAGATATCGAACGGATTTCAATTCCAAATATCGCAACGATTCGATTCCCGAATCGGAAACGATTCGTGATTCGCGCAGATCAGAATGATTCGATTCCAAAATCAAACGACTCAGATTTTGGAACTCGAATCATTCGGATCTGCGATTCGAACAATTCGATCCTGAAATTATACCGCGACCACGTTTTCTGCACTTCTAGCACCATCTATCAACAGCTGCAGAAAAAGGGCACTAGTTAAATTTTTGCGAGCAATTTTTTACATTATGGATAATTAATAAATTTCTATAAGTATTTATAGCTGCATAATAAGCAGGAAATCGTATTTTGCAAAGATTATGCACTTTAAAATGAAGAGCGAGTTATCCTTAGCATGATTTACTATGGATAACATTCCATCAGTAGAACATCATTTCAAGAATAGGAGGAAGTACTTGCATGTAGGTTCCCGCCGCGTATACCAGCAGTACACACTCTGGCTTACGTTTAGTGGTGTAGCGCTTGCGCATATCTCACCAGAGGCGTTATATTTTTGCTGATGAATTATGCATTTTAAAATGGTTAGCTGGGGTATCTCAGCATAGCATTCTTTCCCTAATAACCTTTAGGCCAGTAGACTGTGTTTATAATTAGGCAGAGCGCCCTAGATCGTAGGGTAGAAAATACCTATACTTTATGCCTCGCGTCTCCCCTTGCCTCCCTGTCCCTCGCTCAAACCTCTTTCTTCTTCTTACCGCCCAGCTGTCTCCCTGTGCCGGCATTTTCCTCAGTCTCCATCCTCTCTCCCTAACCAGCTATATATTTAAGTTTGCCTTCGAGCGGCCACTGCACACCTAACACCGGGTGCGCCGGCATGCCGAAATATCTCCCCGATGAGAAATCGCTATTTTTGCAAAGATTATTGCCATTTTAAAATGGAAGAGGTAGTTATAGCATAGCACTTTATTTGTTAACATTCCATCAGTAGACATCATTTAAGAATAGGAGGTAAGACCTTGCATGTCTAAGCGACCCGCTGCGTATACCAGACAGTACACAATCTGGGTTACATTAGTGTGCTTAGCGTATGCGCATATCTCACAGCTCAAGGCAGCTTATATTTTTGTGATTGAGTATGATTTAAAATGGTTAGGGGTATCTCAGCATTAGATCCTCCCTAATAAACTTTTATTATGTAGACTGATGTTTATCAATTTAGTGAGAGCGCCCCTAGCATGTTAGGCGCTACAAAAACACCTACTTTATGCCATCGGTCCTTCCTTCGCCTCCCCTGTCCCTTCGCTCAGCCTACTTCTTCTTCTACCCCTCCCAGCCTATCGTCCGCTCGCCTTTCCTTCAATCTCCCATCCCCTCTCCCCTCAGCAAGCTACTAGTTATGGAGGTTTGCCTCAGACGGCACTGCCCGCCCTAACACGGTGGCGCGGCGCATGCCAATAAAAATTCCCCTTTGCAGAGAAATCAGGTATTTTGTTAAAGATTATGCATTTTAAAGAACAGGAGTAATCCTAGACATAGAATTATATATACATTCCTTCACTAAGACATCATTTAAGAAATAGGAGGAAGACGTTGCATGTAAGCGTTCCCGCCGCAGTATACCAGCCAGTACACAGATCTGGCTACGTTTTAGATATTGTTAGCTGCATGCCAAAATAATCTACCAGAGCGGCTTATATTTTGTGATGGAGTATGCCATTTAATAATGGTTAGGGTGTATCTCACCAAGATTCCTTAAAAAAACTTTTTATCAGTAGCACCTGTGTTTATAATTAAGAAAGCGCCCTATAGCATGTAGGCTACAAACACCTTACTTTATGGCCTTCGTGTCTTCTCCTTGCACTCCACTGCTCCCTCGCTCAGCCCTCCTTCTTCTTCATACCGCCCCCAGCTATCTTCCCTGCCGGATTTCCTCTGTCTCTTATCCCGTCTCTCCCCTCAGCAAGCTATATTATGAAGTTTGCCTCAGACGGCACTGCACGCCTTAACACGGGTGCGTGGCCGCATGCAGCAATATCCCCCGAGAGAATTATGTTTCATATTTACGTGTATAGTGTGCCATTAGCTGCTGCCAGCTGCCAGCGCCAGAGCGATAGCAGCGTGCATTCGAGTGGGTGTGTGTTATGCTGTCATTAGAGCATTTGCAAGCCACGGCTTGTCGGCACTAATACTAGGATGAAGGAGAGTAGGAGAACATTAAGACTTTGCGTAGTAAAATAGGTTTTCGTATTTTTTAAGCATTATATTTTATTTGAACGCTCCAAGTGCCTGTGCTAACACGCGTGCGCGCGCATTTGCCGAAATATTTTCCGCAGAAAATCGTATGTTTGCAAAGATTATGCATTTAGAATATAAAGCATGGATTATCATAGCATAGATTTGTTATGATACACTTCCATCAGTAGACATTATTTAAGAAATAGGAGGCCAGACCTCTGCTGTTAAGGTCCCGGCTGGCGCTATACCAGCCAGATACACAATCTTATGGGCTACGTTAAGTGTGTTAGCCGCATGCGCAATATCTTACCAGAGGAGTTTATATTTTGTGAATGAGAATGCTTTAAAATGGTTAGGGTGTACTTCAGCCAAAGATGTTCCCTAAAAAAACTTGATCAGTAGACCTGTGTTTATAATTAGGAAGCGCCTTAGCCGTTAGGGTTACAAAACACCTACTTTTATGCCTTCGCGTCCTTCCCCTTGACTCCCCTAGCCCCTCGCTCAACTCTTCCTTTCTTCTTTCTACCGCCCCAGGCTATCTTTCCTGCCCGCTTTCTCCAGTCTCCATCTCTCTCTCCCTCGGCAAGCTATATTATGAAGGTTTGCCTCAGACGGCACAGCCGCCTAAAACGGTTGCGTGGCGCTATGCGCAAGTGATCTCCTTGAGAGAAATCAGCTTATTTGGCAAAGATTATGATATTTTAAATGAAGTAGGAGTAATCTTAGCCATATAAATTATATAATAACATTTCCATCACTAGGGACATCATTTTAAGAATAGGAGGCAAGACCTTGCATGTAGGTCCCAGCTGCCTGTATATACGTCAGTAACACAATCTGACTACGTTTAGCTGTGTGTTAACGCTTGCGCAATATCTCACCAGAGCGTTGTATTTTGCTGGATAAATATGCATTTAAATTGCGTTAGGGGTATCTCGAGCATTAGATCTTCCCTAATAAACTTTTATTAGTAGACCTGTGTTTATAATTAGGAGACGCCCTAGCACATGTTAGGTTATACAAAACAAGCCTACTTTATGCCCTCGCGTCCTTCCCATTGACTTCCCCTGTCCCTCGCTCAGCCTCCTTCTTCTTCTACCGCCCCAGCTAATCGTTCCCTGCCGCCACTTTCTCAGGTCTCCCATCCCTTCATCCCCTTCAGGAGCTATATTATGACGTTTGCCTCAGACGGCACTGTACGCTACACGGTGCGCGCGCATGTTGCAGTATCTCCGAGAGAATCGTTTATGCAAAGATTATGCCACTTTTAAAATGAAGAGGAGTTATCCTAGCATAAAATTTATATATGATAACAATTCTATCAGTAGACATCATTTTAAGAAATAGGAGGAATACCTTGCATGTAAGTTCTGGCAGTGTATACGCCGGTACACAACTCTGACTACGCGTTTAGTGTGTTAGCGCTTGCGCAATCTCACCAGAGCCTTATATTTTGTGATGAATATGCATTTTAAAATGGTTAGGGCGGTATCTCAGCATATAGATTCTCCCTAATAAACTTTTATCAAGTAGAACCTGTGTTTATCAATTGTGAGGGGAGCGCCCTTAGCATGTAGGGTACAAAACACTACTTTATGGTCCTCGGTCCTCCCCTTGCCTCCCTGCTCCCGCGCCAACTCCTTTCTTCTTTCTACCGGCCCCAGCTGTCATTCCCTGCCGCATTGCCTCATTCTCCTACCCCTTCTCCCCCTCCTAAAGTACTATTATGACGTTTGCCTCAGACGCGCACTGCGCGCCTAAACACGGGCTGCGCGCCGATGCGCAAATCTCCCGAGCAGAAATCGTATTTTGCCAATAGATTTATGGCATGTTAAAATGAAGAGGCAATTTATACCTAGCATATAGATTATTGATAACATTTCATCACTAGCGCATAATTTCAAGTAGCATAGCGAGGAAGACGCTTACAATGCTAAGGTCCCGCTGCGCTGGTATACCAGCCAGTACACAATCCTGGCTACGTTAAGTGCGTGTTAGCCGCATGCCAATATCTCACCGGATGGAGTTATATTTTGTGATGAATTATGCATTTTAAAATGGCATTAGGGCGGATCGTCAGCATGAGATTTTTTCCTAATAAA